TACTATCGAAAAGGTCTATTGTTCGTAATGATAATAGATTTTTCGTAAACACCTTCCGAACTGTATACCATACAAAGAACTGCTTTGCAATACAAACAATTTTTTTTGCTACACAAAGAATGAAAATTGTTCGTAACGTGGGCGAAGCATTTAGTTCGTAAGTAGTTTCCAGTGTGGCTGAGTGGGGCAGAAGGCGTGAGCCGGGCTTGCCAAACGGCAAGGGCGACGCGTTTGAAATTAAATAAAAGGGAAGCCACGCGCGTTGGCGCGACCCTCGAAGCCAGGGCTGCGAATGGTAGGCAACGACAAATCACGGCAAACACCCTCGAAACTTCAAAGCGTCCGCAAAACAGCGCCGAGTAAAGTTTTTCTCTTATGTTCCACCAAAAATCAATGTGATGGCTTATCGTCTCCACCCTTTTCCAAATTGCAAAACAAAAACATAAAGATAGCTTACAAAAAAAGCAAACAACGCATTTAAAACATATCTGCTGGTGCATGGTTTTCACACAGGAGAACAGATAAATCGGGAAAGTAACAATGTTGATTTAAAAAAAAAACGTAAACAATTCTTGTTAACCATAAACGGACCCTTAGTAAAGAAAATTTTCTATTTTATAGTTTCGAGCAATATTTTTTTAATATAGAAGTTTGCGCCGCGTCATGGCGCCCTCTCACTTGTACAATCTGCTTTTGGACGCCATGTAGGCATTTCATGCCTGCTCGCTGCATTGTTCTTGTTCTTGATGTGTCTCTTTGCGTGATATTTGCGTGAATTAGCCTATTATTACTTTTATAATTGAACACAATTTTTGGCATGAGCGCTGTGGTGTACGTGGTGTAACGTAAGACGTAACGTAAGACGTAACGTAAGACGTAACGTAAGACGTAACGTAAGACGTAACGTAAGACGTAACGTAAGACGTAACGTAAGACGTGGGTGTGGAGCTGCTCAACAGGTGGTGTTGAACCATGACGCTCTCCCCCCCGGGCCCGCCCCATCTGTCTGGCAGAAACGGGTCCGTTTAAAAAACTAATGTTCAGAGGAGAACAAGAGACAAGGAACAAAGGGTCGAACTGGATGCGAAATATTGTGTCTGTATCCAATCTCCGAATGGCCTGAGTGTAAATAAACTTTTTGTTTGATATAGTAACACAGCACGGTGGAACGGCGCCGACACAACAAACTCTTTTCGACAAGCAGCAAAACATTTCGGTCGGCACCGAGTCGGCACGGTAACGATATGCGAAAACCCATCGGACCCTTCTGTGGCGCCTCGCCGCGCTCTTGTCCGGCAGTCTAATGTGTATATGGCTGAGTTGGCCCGGGAGCTCGCGCGTGGCTCGTGGCGCGGGGCTGCAGGACGGGGTGCCCCGCACGCCGAGCAGCGCGCGCGCCCAAGTTTGAGCAGAGTGGGTTCCCCCCAGTTTCCGCAGGGCTTGTTTGCCGTTCGAACCGAGGGGCGGGGTGGGGCGGGGTCGTGGAGTTCGGTGCCAGTCTGACGGCCGTCCGGGCCGCGCGGCGCGCCTACACTTCTTCAGTCCATTAGAGCAGGTCTGCGGGGCGGAGAGCTCTCCCTGGTGCGAACGCTTTCGACCCCGGCTGGCCTGGCCGCCCCACCTGCTCCGCACCGGGTCCATTTACTTGTTTATGAATTTTGCACGACCGCCGCGTTATCCCGGGCCCTGGGCGTCGACGGGGATTGGGTAGGTAGAAGGGCGGAGCAGAGGGCTTGAATGGAGGGGAAGGGGATAGCGGGGACTGCGCGGGCAGAGCAAGGATGGCGCGGAGCTGCTCTCTTGTGTTCTGGCTCAGCGCTGCTGCTTCGTCCGTTTATCTAACGATATTAAACCTTCCACCCTCTGCCTTGCACTTTTCCCTGTCTAATAATCCCAGGTCTGGCGGGGCAGGGTAGGGAGAGGGGGGTTATTGGGGACTGTCGCTTATAATTTACGACATCTTACGGCAGGGCCAAAAAGCGCAAGCGCACTTTGCTGTGCCCTTCGGCGAGAGACTATGATCGGAAAGTAGGGGGGAAAGGGGAGGAGAGGGGGGTGGAATCCGGTCCGCCCCGCTCCCAGCATCCTGCAGCAGCTTAAGGGGATTTAGCCGCGACGGCGGGGCGCCGGGGGTCGGGGAAATAAGGGAATGAAAGAGAAATGGCCAATAAGAGGCACGGCTGCCGCCGGACAAGACACCCCGGGGCTCCCCGGGGCCGGGGCCGGTCTCATCGTAGCGGCAACAAGTCCCGGGCCCCTGGCCCCGCGCCCCGCGCGGCCCCGCCATGCCCTGCTGCCCTTCCCCCGCGCGCCCCGCGCCGCCCGCAGGACACCCGATGCGTCTCGTCATTTACAAGGCGCGCCGATGCTATAGACTATAGTGCCGCCGTGTAGCGCCTCTGATGACGGTCAGCGCGAGGCGGAGCAGAGGCCCGGCCGTGCCGCACCCGACCCACGCGCGGGCCAGAAATTATCATCACCACCAATCGGAGCAGGTCCTTATATAGCTGGACGGGGGCAGGGAGGAGGGCCTGCTGCGAGCCGGGGAGCAGCAGTGCGGGCAAAGCTGACCTCGTTTGGAACAAACTTGGAGGAATCCTCTCTCTGCCGGGCCCCTTTCCCCGCCCCTCCACCTCCGCCGCTCCTGCCGCCCTCTGCCGCTGCCGGGCCTCTGTATCTGGACAGCCTTCTTGACATCCAATTAGGAGAGGCCAGCTAGGCAGCCGGGACGGCGGCGGTGCCGGCCCCAGCCCACACCTGCACACGCGCCGCCAAGGCCCCAGCGCGGCGCCCCGGCCGACACGGGACCTTCCCCCGCTGGCGGCCCGAGCAGAGCGGCGAGCCAAAGCCCTCCCCCCGCATCCCTGGACGCGGACGCGCCCCCGGGGGGGGCAGAGCCACACCGCGCAACATCCAGCTCTCGCCGGGCGAAACGCCTCGCCCCTACCGAACCCTCCACACTCTACACAGTTTCAGCAGCTTCCAAATTCTTTTCTCTTCCCCTCATTCCGCGGGACATCGGCCGGCGGGCTCCGAGCTCTCTGTTCGCGCGCAATGCGAGTTTGGGAAGTATTTACAACTTTGCGCGTGTTCGGCCTGTAAAGGCACGGCGGCACGCACCTGTTGCGTGGCGGGGCGGGGCGAGGCGCATCGGCGTGGCCGTCTCTCCTCTAGCCTGCCGGTGAGGAGCGGGGCGGGTGCCAAATCGAGACGAGGCGCCTCCGAGTTAATTAACGGCGCTCCCTGTCCCACCGACCTGCTTTACACGGCTGACAAATGCTCCAAAGTTTTCCGTCGCCGCCCGGGGAGCTCGCCGTGTAACCTCCTCGCTATATAGTTCGCTATACAGCAGCTCGCTCGCTCGCCCGGGAGCGCCCGCGGGAGCGAGGGTAGGCGACCCATAACGCGCGCGCGCGCAGCGGGCCTGCCTACCCCGCGCTCGGCGGGCGCTCCAGCAGGGCCGCCACAACGCACTCCTGGCGGCGCTCCCTCCCTCCCCGCACTCCTGCTTCCTTCTAGACTACCTGTTCAGCTCTACGGGCTGAGGGTAGGCGACCCATAACGTGCACGCACGCACGCTGCGGGCCTGCCGAATGATTCACTGTTAAAAAAATCCTGGGATTTCACGAAGGAACGCTCGTGAAAGTATTGCCAAAGTCCTTCGGGATTTCCCAAAGAACTCAGTAGATTTCACGTGTCGAGTTCAGCTATGAAACATACAAACGAATGAAAACTTCCACCTTCAACATGTGTTTTAATACACAAAAACTAAGAACGGAGTTCTCTGGGAATTTATAATAGTGGTGGAAAGTGAATCTTCGGGAAATCCTAAGAAATTTTTAATAGTGTTCAGAGTATCGCCCTCCTCGCTCTGTCTCTTTCGCACCCCATACTGCGGCACTCCATGCGTGCGAGAGAGACAGAGCGAGGACGAGGAGAACGATCCTCTGAGTCGGCTGCCTACCCGGCACTCGGCGGGCGCGGCGCTCCATCAGGGCCGCGACGCACTCCTCCTCGGCGGCACTCCCTCCCCGCGCACTTCAGCTTCCTTCTATACTACCTTTCCCGCGCTCTTCTCCTCGCGGCACTCTCTTCCCTCAATGGACACATTCTCTGGCACTTGATGCGGTGGCGCAAGGGGAGGGGGAGGAGGGGTCTTCTTATTGCTTCCCGGCCATCCTCGCTCCCACACCCTCTCCCCCTCCACACCCC